TATATATATATATATATATATATATATATATATATGAAAATTTATATAGATTGCACCTTAAAATGTAGAATTACAGATGGATCTCAAAAATCTATCGAAAAGATTGTTTTAATGTTGAAAAACCCTCTATTTAATCATCTCGACATCGAGATGTATGAATAAAGAAAAAAAGTTTTTTAGTCTAAATAGTGCATCTAGGCCGTCCATTTTCTAGATTTTCATATGTTTATAGATCTCTTAGATTTTAACTACTTTTGAAGTTTAAAATTTTCTAATTAGATATAAAAATAGATTTTAAGATAATCGTAAGAATTTTTTACAAAAAGATTACATGATAAAATTTAGAGGTGCGCCTTAATTGGATTGTTTAAGGTTGCAACCTTATAGAAACCACACCCATATATATATATATATAAGGTAAAAGTTTTAAAAACGCCTATAAGCGAAGTGCTACAGTGTTTCGCCTCCGTCATGGATATCCTATGGCATATGTCTGTGACGGTTTTGCCTAAAAACTACCATGGACCTATGGGGGCCATGGCGGTCCCCGTATATTTTTTGCGTCAAATTTGTGGGAAAAATATCTTGTCATGGACATGCTATATCCGTGATGGACCACCGCGGACATGCTATGCCAATGACAGTCTTTAATCCATGCGATCTGAAAAAATTGGATGGCGTCGAGCCTATGGGCGAAAATACTGTTTATTTTTTCCTATAGGCGTTTTGTAATCTTATATATATATATATATTCAGTGATTTTAGGCAATGATTATATAGTAATATAATGCAACAACCTTCAAAAATCATGTTAGGGTTATGTATTTGATCTGAATTTTAAAATATGCACTCTTTTCATTCTAATGAACAACTACAAAAAAGAAAAAATTGAAAACACAGCATAGAAAGTATTTTTTTAGCCCAATTAATATAGGCTGACTATTTTGGTGAGATGCTTAGATCTAGGCCTTAGAATGATTTTTTTTTGTTCTAAAATTTTTAAATAATTTTATTATCATTAGATTAACAATATTGAAAAAAAAAAGAATGATTTTGAATTCAAAAAGGCCCAGATCTTCAAATTCATCAAATGGATGATCTAGATTCATTATTGGAGGGGATTCATTTTGATCATATGTAAAGTGCAAATTACTTTCTTTTTTTATATTGATTATTGAGATAAAATGAGTGTGTATAAAAAAATTTGGGTCATACAAATACTACAAACATAGTTTTCCAGAAGTGTAATTGCATTATACTTTAATACAACCATGGCATGAAATCATTGCCCATATAAAATAATGAAACCACACTTCTAGAAAACCATGTTTGTGGCAATTGTATGATCCAAAATTTTGGTCACACACTCTCTTCATCTCAATAATCAATCTAAATAATAATAATAATTTGTACCCAATATATGGTCAAAATTAGTCCACTTCAACAATGAATCTAGATTGTCTATTTGGTGAATTTCAATATCTAGTTATTTATGAATTCAAATCAATGTTTTATTTTTTAACATTGTTAATCTAATGATAATAAAGTTATTTAAAAATTTTGGAAAGGAAAAAGATTCTTCTAAGCCTTAAATCTAGGGATCTCATCAAAATAGACAGCTTATGTTAATTGGGCTAAAAAAACTTTCTAGGTTGTGTTTTCAATTTGTTTTTTTATTTATTGTTCATTAAAATGAAAAGAGTGTATTGTTATAGGATATTTTTTGACACTTGTATCCTTGGTGCGAATAAAGAGGAAGTTAATTACAACCTAGGCCTGTCGGTACCAAAATACATGTGGACTATGGAAGCACTGTTAAAATAAACCTTGATCTGGAGTGAATTTTTGAAGGGCGTTGGATTGTCCCAGAAAGAACGTGGGGGTAGCATTTGACTCCCTAAGAACACCCACGAAGTTTTGTCGTGATTCGATGAAGTTAAGGTGAATTAGACGGAAGACCAGTTTTCAAATTCAGCCCCTAGCATGCTGAAAGAGAACCTCATAATTACATCCCCATCATCGGGGTCTCAGATGAAGACCATAGCACTTCCGTTTGATTCAGAAGGTCCAAAAACCCTCATATATCAAATTTCAACCCATTCAGACTCTTCTGGACCATTCTGGAGCCAACTTACCAAAAAGATAGGTTACACACTATTCTGATGCACCTTCGGTGAACCAGTTTCCATTTATGTGTCTTATGAGTTCGGGATCACTTTCAAGGGGCCATAACTTCTCAATTTTAAGTCAAATCGAGCCCAAATTTCAGGAGGTTCTTCGTCTCGTTGACGTGCATGTTTTGATATATGGCACAGCCCCGTAACACGACCTGAGATCCTAGAGAGAAGTTGCTCAAGAAACTCATATGTTGCAGATTTTTGCAAGAAGGAGATTCCCTCAATCAGACAGTCATATCACGAGGCTCCGACCTCGGATCGACTTGAAAACGGGTCTGTTGTGATTGTGATGTCGAAGGCTTCGATCGAAAGTAAACATCATATGTGATAAATGATCGAAAATGTTGTATTTTGATGTTGTCATAAGGGGTATTTTTCGGCAACTAGAATCCATATTCCGGCGACTTCCCCAATTCGGAAGGTGATAATCCGGCCACCAAATCGAATCATTCTTGTCACAAAACAATCATGGTGGCTTCGCTGTCATTATATGATAGAAAGATCGAATGAAAATGTCAAGAAATGGACAAGATCCAAGATCTAAAAATACAAGTTTCCCATCTTTTACTGGATTTTGTCAAGAGCTCAAAACTTCGATTCAATGATCAAGTAATATGCCAAAATGATAGCCTTGCCGAGACCATCACTTTTACGGCATTATTTTCATCGAAAAGTTGTCGAGATGGCCCGAAATGAGACCCGAATGATCACCATAGCCCATGGTACATTTTTGGAGACCTTCTCGTCATTTTCAAGATTGTAGGTAGGGGCAAAATGATCATTTTTCCTTAAAAACGGGATTTAATTTTAAATCATGGAAAATGTAATATTCAACAATTTAGGTTAGTTTTGAGCATCCACCCCTTGTTTCATGGGGATGCTATATAAGCATTGTATGTATGATCATTGTAACCCTAAGTTTGTAAGTTCAAAAAAGTTAATGCAATAGCTTGAACGTCTATTAGTTTGTAATATTTTTGTTTCTACCCCTTTTTCCCCTAAAGAGACAAGAGAGAAAACTTTTCCCCACAAGATACTACCCCTAGAACTTCTCACTTCCCACCAAGAACCCCTCGCTTCATAATTGGAACCTTTCACTCCCAACCTAGCCCCCGATCCGATTCAAGGGACACTAGGTAACCCCTCACTCTTTCTCTCTCATCTTGCTCTCCTTCCTCTCTCTTTCTCTCTCATCTTCCTCTCCTTCCTATCTCTTTCTCTCTCTTCCCTTCTCTTTTCTCTCTTCCCTCTCTTCCTCTCTCCTTCTCTATCTTCTCTCTCTTCTCCTCTTGCTTTCTCTCTCTTCCCCTCTCCCTTTTCTCTCTTTTCCTCTCTCTCCTCCCCCTTCACTCAGCCGGACCGACGGCTTTCCCTTTCGTCTCTTTCTTTCTCTTGTCTCCCCTCTCTTCTCTCTCCTTTCTTTCCGTCTCTCCCCTTCTCTCCCTCTCTCTCTCTCTCTCTCTCTCACAACCGGACCAGCGACTACTTTCTCCCTCTTTCTCTCCCCTCTCTCTCTTACCCGATCGGACCGACGGCTTTCTTCCCCTCCCTCTCTTTCTCTCGCTCTCTCCCTCCTTCAATCAAGTCGGGTCAGCAACTCTCCCTCCCCTCTTTCTCTCTCTCTCTCAAAGCCACCGACCCCTTTTCTTCCTTCTCCCTCTCTCTCTCTCACGACCGGGCCGACGGTTAAGCCGCTGGCACCTCTCTTCCTCCCCACTTTCTCTCTCTCTCTCTCTCTCACCCAATAAGACCGACAACTAAGCTGCTGACCCATCTCTTCTTCTCTCTCTCCACTCGATAGGGCGAATGGCTAGATTGTCGACCCCTCTTCTTTCCTTCTCTCTCCTCACTCTCCCCCTCTTTCTCTTGCTCTCTTTTTGTCTTCTCTCTCTTCCTTCCTCGCTCTCCCTCTCTCCCTTCTC